TGAGCGGTAGATTAAAAAAAAATGTTATGACTATTCAAAAGTGCTTCAATGTAAGTTTATTTGAATAAATGATTTTCTATTCTATTCTATTCTATAAACTAAGTCGCTTTGTTTGAAGATAAGCAAGGTGACTCTTGCATGGAAGAAGACTACACAAGTAAAACTTATATTTGATGAATGAAGCGACAAATCTATTTTTTAATAAGAACTGCATATTGTGTCCCCAGTAACAAGTTTAGGATTCCAGCTCTAATGTCAAGGAATATAGGAAAATAAAAAAGAAATAAGAACTAACTTAATATGCAGTAAACAGTTTAGTAAAAACAAAGTTAATTTTAATAAATCCCACACAATTAGATCTACTGCTATCTGCTCAAACTAAGATATTTGGTATTTGAGAAACTAGACTGGGAACATCTAGTTGCCACAATCCAGAACTTCAGTCCTCCGTTTTGGAATGCACGTTTACAACAGTATACGAACGATTTTCAGTCACAGATAATAGGTATAGTTTACATTTAGTTCCAAATCAGTGAGCCTTATGTAAGTACTAAAGACGTCAATTGTTATTGTCACACTATTGTTACGAACTACAGAACTAAGACAATAATAGATACTATGAAATTCAAAAGCTTACACTAAGATTAAGATAGAATACATTCTAGTTCCTTTATGTCACTCTGATCACAGTAATTATTAATAATTGTAAAGTGAGAAAGTATATTGTACAAATACTAAACGAAATATAAAACCATCTCACGTGTAATTATCACCACAGATAACATAATCCCTATATGCATATAGACACATACGCATATCCACATACTCCTATAATTACAGAATTTACATTACATTACGTAACCCATGGTAACTCCCAGGCATTCTATTCTATTATCAGTACTACACCTCACCCTTCATACTGGAACAGAAATTAGCAGCAGAATTGGATAAGTATTTCGGGAGAAATTAATATATAATTCAAACAATAAGTTATACCAAAACATACATGCGTACTTATTTCTTAATTCAAAAGTTTCTTTAGAGTTGTTGCAAAAGCAAACCAGAAACATAAGCTGAAAATATAGGATAGGAACACTCAAATTATTAACTGGTATCTCACTTGATCAATTATTTAACATCTTTAAGTATTACAGAGGCTTCGTAAACTTCTTTATTAGAAAAGTTCAGCGTAAAAGCCAACCGACTTCAATTAATAAGATCTCAATGTGAAATTAAATGTTCCTTTTATTTATCTTTGGACTATAATCTGTAGCTAGCGTTTATAATAGTACAAGTGTTTCGTCATTTTATTAATTAAAATAAAGTAGTAGGAAATCTCTGAACTAACTCGGCTTTTAAACTTTTAATTCATTCAAAATTTCGGCCGTACAATCAGAACTTTAAGATGTAATAGTAATATTTTTCAATGGAAAAATAATTGTACTCGTATATAAAACACTTTTTACCTGTATATTCTACAGATAATATTATATTTATTATACTCTACAAGTGTTACAATTTACTTTTTTAAAGAATACACTACAAAGTCTCTCATCTAACTCACCTAGTAATTCTACAGCATTCAAATACTGTCCTTATAAATATTATGTATCTACAACATACTTCTCCGGTACGAAATAATTATAACAATTATTATTAGCATTTCTAACAATTGTTATATATGTATTGTATATAGAAATCATATCTCAAGTCTAAAAATAGATGAAACTAGATAAATGATATCGTGATCGATAGCATGGTTTTATCTCTTATCAGCTACTCGCCCCGGCTTCACCCGGGTGTATATGTATTATACATATAAACCTTCTTCTTGAATCACTCTTTCTATTAAAAAAGAAGCTTTAAAATCCGTTGCATAGTTTTAAAGATTTAAGCATATATATGTAGGGACGGACAGACAACAACAGCGACTTTGTTTTATACTATGTAATGGTACTATTTCTGTCACCTACATACGTATATATATAATTTGATTGCAGCAAATTATTATAAAAGAACATAGACTAAATATAGAGCAATATGTTCAGTAAGTTAAATAAAAGTTTCCAGAAACAAACTTTTATTGATGCGGGTAATAAATTGTTATTATAGTAATTTGTAAATCGCGAATTCAAAGACAGCAATAAAAGATGACGGTGCCGTGTGTTCCGGAAGCTGGAATAGTAATGACGTGCAGGAGAATGTTCTTGTTTGTTGTTTTACGAACCCCAAACAGTGTGCTACAACACACCATCCCGTTCATTTTAATACACCCGGAGACAGTTATAATAAGTAACCAATTTTCTACACATTAATTTATATTTATTTTATTATAGATTCTTAATATATTAGTAATTTTCAGATTGGTGTATGTTATCTCAACAAAACATCTAATGTTTTGTTGAGATAGAACATACACCAATAATAAGAGTAATGGCTAATATAACTCAACATTATTTTATATCAAATGAGTATGTCTAAGTTTATTTTAAAAATATAGTTTTGGAGTTACTATTTACATGGATAATATTTAAAAATGCTACATGACTAAGTGAATATATTTTTTATACCGGAGGAGATATATACTAGACTTTATGGGTATCTTAATGATGAAATACCTAGATTTTTATAATGCACATGCTACAGCTGCGATCGAATATGAACCAATGAATTATATAAATAAATATGGTTATAAGAAGTATTATTATATTAAAAATTTATAAAGAAAAAAAAAGAGGGCGGTTGCCTAAAATATCACTATGTCTCCTTGACTTTATCTACGGCTAAATGCGTCTCCAGTGTTTCTTCCCTTCCCACATGACTCAACGAGGCTAATTATCTCTTGTACACTCGAGTATAAGTGAACAAATAGCTGTTACACGCCATTTTTGTTAAAATGACAACGTCTTATTAAAAAGCACTATGTAACATTTTTTTATTATCGAGTTTTAATTATTGGTTTTCATCAGCCAGTAACCATTAATTAGTAGAAAAAATAGATATTTGATGACGAAGAAATTCTCGTATTGTGACATATTAATACAGTGAAGGTAGAAGAATTAACTAGGTCTGACGAAGAAATATATCATCATACTTGCAAAAAAATCTGTGAAAAATATAGTTATTCTATAAGAAGCTAATACATTTGCTCTATATAATATTTTATTTTTTGTATAATATAAAAAAAGATTTTACACGAAAGTTATCAACTATAACTTAAACAAATACCAGCAAGCGAATATACGGATAATATTAAGTAAAATAATTTTATTAAACAATCATTGAAATAAACAAGCTAAGTGAAATAAGAGACATTATTTTGTCATTGAAAAAGTCACATATAAATATTTTTTTTTCTTTTTACAAGATTGAGATTGATGAGAAATGTATGACGTCTTTAATCAATTGTCTAAGATCTACAGCATTACGCAGATTTATGAACGCAAATATATGAATGTTTTTTACGGAAATATTTTGACATGTCTATAATAATCTATAATTATCACAATTCAGTTTTATCTAATCCTGCCAAACTTGGTCCAATTTCGAAGCAATACAGATGTTATATGAACGTTAATCCAAGCTATACTTCGAAAGCCTCTAGCACTAGCCGCTAGAAGAAGTCAGAACTCGTTAGCGAGTCTTTATCGAAAGCAAAGTTTTGGGCAAGTATCTGTGAACAGAATGTGGGCAAAAGGCTGATAATGAAAAAGTTGGATGGTACGTGATCCTTTGAGAGAACTTGCATCTTGCCCCACTATCTGAAAACGATTTAATTCATTAATTTCATTGTAATAGTGTATAATCGGCACACTATGTAAATGAATAATTCATGTAGTATTTTGAAGATCTTAGAAATTACATATAATACATATTTGATATATCTTTATGTAATCATAGCGTAATCTTCAATCTTTTTAATCTACGCTGTCACTGTTATTTCCAAGTAATTCTTTTATAATATTGGAAAAGAGAACAAACCGAAATCCAGAAAGTAGGTATATGGAACAAACTCAAGAAAAAAATCGATAGCAAAAAAAAATATTAACAAGATATATGTCAAATTAAATAATGTATTGGTAATATATTGTTCTATATTACAAATTTATGACATTGCAAATAACATTAGCACAAGTCAAGATCATTAGCAGATGTGCTGCTAATTAATTTAGCCACTTATCAATATGTAACTGGTATTACATAGATAGCAATGTGTAGTGCTCAAAGCGCCTTTATGACGCATTGACTGAGTATTTGTTATCAATTGATTACGTACATTTTATTTTAAACTAATTGATTGTAATTGAGTATACTTCCAAAAATAGTATTCGAGAATTTTGTTCAAAGCTCAAACAAAGTTCAGTTAAAAGTTACGAAGATAATTCTAAATTTCACTAAAAAAATCTATTTGATCTGCCAGGTATGCCAGGTATGTATATCAACTAACGTCTGTATAAAAATATTGTATAATTTTTTTACGATAAGGGTAACCTTAATATATTTATGTATGTTTATTACATAAATACATATATAAAATATAGTCGCACTATATTAGAAAATATATTTCCTAAGTTAACACCACCGGGAATAGTTGTAACTATCGTTATGTAATACAACTTATATTCTACTATGTCTACTATATATGTATACGTACATACTTTGCAAAGTCTAGTTATCTGTCGTATTCTACAAGGGTAGAATGATCGTGGAAACCAACTGAAGCTAGAAGCTTTTACTTCGCAATTAATTCACCAACTTGTTGAATTACTAATTGGTGCTTTATTTATGTTGCAAAACAGATATTAGTATTGTTGGGTTTAGCTTCCACTTCTACTAATCACATTACCAACACATTATAAATAACACTATATACAATATAGCTATGTAAAAAATATGCTAATAAGGTTTAATTTAAGCATAGGTCTCTTAAAATAAAATATTAGTACGAAATATGTTTAATGTATAAAAAAATTATATAAAAAATCAGTTGTGTATATATATTTCATTATAATTTAAATTCATTTTCATTACAAAATTAAAGATTAATATAGATCTTCCACGGAAGGCATAAAATTCTCTGGTATTTGGGAATTGTCTACTTCTCGTTTTTTAAAGACAAGCGTTGCCAGTTTGGCTTTTTGCGTTGTAGTACTCGACTTGTTTTTGTCCACTACTTTTCTAGGTTTCTTTTTATTTGCTTTTCTTTTAGCTGCAGTTAAAAACGTATCACCTTCACGAGAGTCGCAAAGGAAAGACTTTTTTACACTGTATATTTGACAAGTCTCCGATATCATTGTGTCACTTTGTCGTTCTGTAATCAATTGAGTATTTATCTCTTTTACTTTTAGAGCATAAACTTCGTCATTGATATCATACTTTGTAACAGTTATATATTTATGTGTTCTATTCTTTTTATATTTCCCTTTGTTTTCATTTTTAATATATTTTTTCGAATATTCAGTACTGTTAACAGATCGTTTACTACGGACTCCATTAATTTCATTAGTCAACATATCGTACTGCAAATCTTCTACTTTAGTACGTTGACTTTCTATGTGAGTTTTACCCATGTGTGTCTTAATTGCTCTCTCCATACACATATGGCACGTTTTACATGTAATATCAGAAAACACGGACTGTATATCCCTAATATTTTTACTTATATATGATCTATCTTTATTAGGGTGCAAATGTTTCCGCAACGTTGGCATTTGTTTGATTGTAAGAGCCGTATTTAAATTGACGTCTTGAGTCTTTACAGGAATTCCTGGCCCAGATTTACCTTTAAATATGAAATAAAAAATTACTTTTTGAAAATTTTGGTTTAGTATACATAATTGATATAGTTAATGGGGTTTTAATTACGAATAACTACAGCTAGTGAACCTACTTGAACGTGATAATAAATAAAAATGAATGGACTGTGTGAAAGATAAATTGTATAAAAGAAAAATAAGGTTGAATATGACGGCTGACATTTATCATTTGAAGAAAAGGACATACTGTGCCAACTCCAAATAATGGGATAAAAGCAAGGCAGCGACCGAATTGATAATAAGACAAATATGTTTAATTAATAATACATAATTTAAACAGCAAAATCCAAAAGAAACAACTCACCTAACGTTTGCGGTAACAGCGCTAACACACATAACAACAAGGAACTCATTAGTTCCATTTGCCCGCGCTCTCGCACAAGGTGTCTTCGCTGCAAAGTAGACAATCTTCTTTACAAAAGTACACTAACAAGCTTCGTTACTGCACCTCGGAGTTTTACAAAATACTCACTGTGTAACTCACAGTTGCTGTTCTGGCACCTCCAGTTAAATGTTTCCAAGGACTCCTTAAATTAGTGTTGAACTGTATTTAAGTCATAAACGTGATCTATTGTCATACACTAAGTATATAATACGCACACATAGAGTACAAAACGTCTTGTAGTCCAGCAAAATTATTAGAGCAATGTCAGTTTCTTTCGAGATGTGTATCTTATATGTGCGGTTAGGATGGACCTATTCAAGTATAGCGTATATGGGTATTGTTTACCCGGGTTGGTGTTTATAGGCAGCTGTAGTAACCTGTACATTCAACAATTGAATGTTTGCTTTCCTCCAGTCTTGATTTAGAGCTATTGTGATCGTGTTGATATGTTTATGTTACGATAACAGCGTAGCAACATCCGGACAGTGGACAGAGTACAATAGACAACTGAAATTATGCTATATGTACTTGCTGTTATAATACAAATACAAATTGTATCGTAATGTAATGTTACCCAAAAGACTTATATATGTATACCTATACTTTCACGCTATCCATACTAACATTATAAATGCGATAGTGTGTTTGTTTGTATATTTCTAACCTTTTCACGACTAAATGACAGAAACCATATTAATGAAATTTAACATGAGAATAAATTATCTTTTATTTTAAAAAATAATCTGAAAGGTATGAAATAGAGTATAAAAGTTGTACTGAGAATGTAGCGGCTAATAGCTAGTCTCTCATAAGTAAGATAAAATTATCATAAAATATTATTAGTGAAATGTAACGGAGCACAAAAGTGGGGGCTAAACTTCTTTTTTATAACTTATCTCGTTATTCACAAAAATGTGACTTTTATTACATAGTCGGACTTTTGGATTATTTGTACGTTACAGATTCGCCGAATTTGTTCTTGTTCGTGAGTGGAAAGATAAGATTTTTCGGCGTGATAATGTATTTGGGTTATAACTAAACTGATAAAAGTATAACTAGCTACTGAAGAAAAAACAGGTACCTCATTTACAGTTAGATATTGTATTATAAGTTATTTGTTTTAAAAGCTTTTGTTATTATTTTAGTAGCATACTTATTGTATAACATATAAAGTTACTGGGTATGTAGGTAACTCTTAGAAATAATAGTATCTATAAATACTCCAACTTAAAATCTAATGAAGGCGTTGCTAAAATATAACGCTGTGATATTGAACAAATTTTTTTACTCTCCGTAGCTGTTGACAGATAGGCGAATGGACAGATATAGTCTATAAGGGTTCCATTTTACCTTTTCAAATCAGAGTTCTGATCATACATAATTACATGATAAATGCGAAATTATGTATGTGTGTTTAACTTTTTATATCGCTAAAAAACCAGATTACGTTGGGGGTAATAACTAGTTAGGTAATTAATCAAACTTAAATTATTTGCAGTACATATCATTGCTTAATACTATAATCTATTGTAAAAAAAATATTGTACTATAAAAGTAATGTTAAAAGTTAATTTAAAAAGTTGCAAAGATATTGATCTACCAGTACAATGAATATTTTTTAATACAAAAACCCGATTTCAACACATGGCAGCAACAATATACGATGGTATTAAATTAAATAAATTTCCAGCGGCTACACTACGCCAATCCCTGCGGATTCAACTCATTTCGCTTATCAGTGGCAATGAACATGCATTCATTTTGCATTTTTAGGGATCCGTGGTTAAATTAAACAAAAACTTGACCATTTGTCTATATATGATTTCATCATCATATGTCACATTTATAAAATAGTCATAATTCCATCCATAATCACAAACTTTCGGGTTTATAATATTATTATGTAGTAAGGTTTATTATATTAGTAAGATAATATTATATACCTTACAAAAAAGTTACAATGTTTTGCATTCAGTGCTAATTTATTATTATCTAAAAAGTATGGCTCCAACAACGGCTTCCAACAGGAGTGGTCGATTACGAAAAAAAATTAATTTGTGCTCTTAGACTGGGCATATATTATCAGCAGAACACTCGAAAAACCTTGTAATAGCTAGTTAATGCTAATCCAATAGCCCATCCAGAAAGTTTAACTGGATCTCGACGCCATTCAATGAAAATATAGGAAGAGTAGGCGATGCCAACCACAAACGATTTCCTATCTTTAAACTAATAAAATTTTCAAACGACCCCAGCGATTTTATCTGCACTCGTTAATTTCTTTCCACAATTGATTGCCTGTAGGTGGCTACAGGCACTTTTAAGAGGTTCAATGTTTTTTTATACGTATACATACGGCCCATGATGGTAAATGGTTACCATAGCCTATAGATGCCTGAAACACCGTGTTACGTGTGCACGTGCGCGTTGCGGACCCTTAAGAATTGAACGCTATGTTCCTAAATTTAATAGAATGAAAGTTTTATATTCTCTAAAAATTACATTAAAAACGTAAATCTAAATGATTTTCGTAATTGTAAGATAATGTGCGATATGTGCGTGAGTAAATGCAAGAGAGAAAGTAATAAAAGCCTATATAAGTTACCTATCATATATATGAATAGGCATAAATGGTTACCATAGCCTATAGATGCCTGAAACACCGTGTTACGTGTGCACGTGCGCGTTGCGGACCCTTAAGAATTGAACGCTATGTTCCTAAATTTAATAGAATGAAAGTTTTATATTCTCTAAAAATTACATTAAAAACGTAAATCTAAATGATTTTCGTAATTGTAAGATAATGTGCGATATGTGCGTGAGTAAATGCAAGAGAGAAAGTAATAAAAGCCTATATAAGTTACCTATCATATATATGAATAGGCATACATAGCTAAGTATATGGATCCGAAGAATCAAAGGTTTGTATTACAATTCTACATAATGTTAAGCGTGAAAATATGACAACTGTTTCGTTAGAGACCGATATAAATAAACATGATATTATTTCACCAGTTTATAGGGTGAGTTATTGCAGTGAAATCATATAGTACGGAGGGAACCAAGGAAAACACACTATGATGCAATCTATTTATGTAGGTATGTATGTATACAGATAACGGTTGCCACTTGCCACACACTTATCACATTACGTTAAATAAAAAAGCAGTCATACAAATGTCCTTAAAAATATTGTACCTATGTGTACTGTTAGTTTGCCTAAATAAATACACATTATAGTGTGTATTACATACATATATCAATGCAGGCATGACAGCCCGTCCGTCCTAATAGAGAGATATGACGGTATGAGCGAGCGGCATTTTCAATATTTTATATACCGACCGTTATGGTAAAATTGAGCATTATATCTTGGGTAATGATAATAATAACATGCAAAAGTTCCTGTTATATAATATAAACTACTACTGTCACCTTGCATTTCCTATAATTGTATCTGTTATCTTAAGGTTGGTAAAAATTGCTTTCAGCAGTAATGTCATCTTGTTGTATCTATTTGACAATTGAATGTATCTACAATTTTTTATCATTGTATAATGCAAAACAAGTATAGTCTATCCAATATATTTATTTAAATAAATCAGCGCCATTACGATTCTTATTAAGGGACTATCTGTAAATTACATTAAAAGTACAGATTTATCGTGTAAAAATAAGTATGAAATCTAAGACCTACCTACCTATAATCTAAAAATGTGACCAATAGTGACTTGGGGGGAGGAACAAGGGAGGAAAATGTTTGACACTGGTGCGACGTAATTAGGATGTAACGATAAAGATAAAAGAACTGCTCCAATTTTTTTACGTTTGCTTTTAGAATGGAGCATTACTTTTAGAATACATACAGTAATTTCCAATAATTACTAATAATGACTAGCTGTTATATACGTAATAGGGTAATGGTTTAATTCACTGACAACTTCTAATAGATGCGATTTCGACTCTCGTCGTTAGACGACGACATGAGTACCCATCATGAGATTCCGCCTCAGTAATTCCGAGTGACAAAGATTTTTTTATGCCATAATTTCACTGCCATTCAGACTTAAATCCAAACACAGCTTGCTGGTTTGATTTGCTGATTTTATTTACACTACATCTAATTTAATTAAATGTAATTTAAGTCTCTAAAACATCTATTGTTTTCCTATTACACAGACAGAGTCGAGATACTAAAGACCAATTTTATTGTAGCAATGATCATCGGGCTATAGTCGTAAATACCATCTACAAAGTCTAACATGCAATGAAACGTAAGCGTTCTCGATAGGGAGCTTAGCTAACATGCATTTTCTTACCTATAAATTCTTTTCTCATTTTACCCAGGGACGTTAGGTCATTTATTCGCCTTATATTGAAGGCGTGGAGCGAGGCACCCATTTATTTAGAGTTGTGAGGCCCTAGTGATGCAAGCTCATACTAATACAAATAGAAAAATCTTCAATCTAGGTCTAGAATAACAAAACTTATTAACAACTTATAGAAATCATTTGAAATAGTGAAAGAATATAGGAATATTATCTTAATAATATAATATTGTAGACGCGAAAGTTTGTTAGTATGAGTGTTTGTTACTCTTTCATGCAAAAACTACTGAACGGATTTTGATGTAAAATTATATAAATATACCTTATATAATATAGACTATAAATTTCAAGCCGGTGAAACTGCGGGCACAGCAGACTAAGGTTCATTGAAATAATATTTACCTACTGCTTTTTCTGTTTTACATCAAATTATTAAAAACACAAATTGGTCTAATAAAATAATTGTATTATTCTTCTAATTTCACTTAAAAGAATGTTTTTTGGGTATATTGTAATACAGGGAATAAAAATTCCGTTTTAATTAAATCTCTGAACAAAGAAACACAACATAGGAGAATCGAATGAAAAGTATTAATCGCATCGTTTCACTTCTAACAATCGAGTCACGTCTAAAATACGAACATATTTCAAATTAGGAACAATGAATATTGTGGTTTCATTATAACTCGCTGTGGTTACCATATATGGTTGCTTGCTTTGCATTACAAGGCTGTAAATAAAAAAAAGCAGAGAAAACATTTTTACTAGTAAAAGATTATAAACAGTACATAATAAAACAAAAATATGAACCTAAGCCGTATAAGACATGTACACCCGTTCGAATCCAGCGCGGATTGCT